CAGATGCATTTCTACAAAACAACGATGAACAGTCTGAAAAGGAAATCAAAACAATTCATTTCACAATAGAATAAAAAGAATATACTCAGGAATAAACATAACCGAGGATGCTACAGATGTGTACACTTGTAGTACACTACACAACATGCTGAAATTAATGAAGACAAAATAAAGATGCAAAGATCTCCCATGTTCATGAACTGAAAGATTTAATACTGTTAAGATGTTAGCACCCAAAGCAATCTATAATTCAAAGCCATCCCTATCAAAATCCCAACGATGTTTCACGTAGAACAGAAAAGCCCAGCTGAAAAGTCACATGGGATCTCAAGGGATCCCAAACTTCCAAAACAAACTTGAAAAAGAACAAAGTTGGAGAGCTCACACATCCTGATTTCAAAACTTGCTACAAAGCCACAGTAATTAAAACAGTGTGCTACTCAGCATTCAGACAGGGAATAAAAGGTATCCAAATTGGAAGGGAAGAGGTAAAATTGTCACTATATGCAGATGACATCATACTATACACAGAAAACCCTAAGGATGCCACACAAAAACTACTAGATCTGGGACTTCCCTGATGGTCCAGTGGGTAAGACTCCACACTCACAATGCAGGGGGCCTGGGTTCAATCCCTGGTCGGGAAACTGGATCCCACATGCGTGCTGCAACTAAGAGTCTGCATGCCACAACTAGGAATCTGCATGCTGCAACTGAGACCTGGTGCCGCCTAAATAAATAATATAAAAAAAAAAAAGCTCTACTAGATCTAATAAATGAATTCAGCAAAGTAGCAGGATACAAGATTAACATTCAGATTAACATTCAGTTGCATTTCTTTACACTAACAATAAAATATCAGAAAGGGAATGTAAAAAAAAAAAAAAAAAACCTTTTAAAATTGCACCAAAAAAACCCAACTAGGAATAAACCTGACCAAGGAGCTGAAACTTATATGCTGAGAACTATAAAACATTAATAAAGGATATTATAGAGGAATCAAAGAAATGGAAAGATATCCCACGCTCTTGGAAGAATTAATACTGTTAAAATGGCAATACTACCCAAAGCAATCTACAGATTAATGTGATCCCTATCAAATTACTCATGACAGTTTTCAGAGAACTAGAACAATAATCCAAAAACTTACATGGAAACATAAAAGACCCAGAACTGCCAAAGCAATCCTGAGGAAAAAAACAAAGCAGGAGGCATAATTCTCCCAGATTTCAGACACTACTACAAAGCTACAGTAATCAAACCAGTGTGGTATTGGTACAAAAAAAGACATATGGATCAACGGAACAGAACAGAGAGTCCAGAAATAAACCCACACACCTACGATCAATTAATCTTCAAAAAGGAGGCAAGAGGGCTTCCCTGGTGGCGCAGTGGTTGAGAGTCCGCCTGCCGATGCAGGGGACACGGGTTCATGCCCCGGTCTGGGAAGATCCCACATGCCGCGGAGCGGCTAGGCCTGTGAGCCATGGGTGCTGAGCCTGCACGTCCGGAGCCTGTGCTCTGCAACGGGAGAGGCCACAACAGTGAGAGGCCCGCGTACCGCAAAAAAAAAAAAAAGAAAAAAAAGAAAAAGGAGGCAAGAATATAAAATGGGAAAAAGACAGTCTCTTTAGCAGTGGTGCTGGGAAAGTCGGACAGCTGCATGTAAATCAATGAAGTTAGAACACACCCTCACGCCATGCACAAAAATAAACTCAAAATGGCTGGAAGACTTTTATAAGACTTAACACCATAAAACTCCTAGAAGAGAGCATAGGCAAAACAGTCTCTGACATAAACTGTACCAATGTTTTCTTAGGTCAGTCTCCCAAGGCAATAGATATAAAAACAAAAATAGACAAACAGGACCTAATGAAACTCACAAGCTTTTGCACAGCAAAGAAAACCATAAACAAAACAAAAAGACCACCTACAGTATGGGAGAAAATATTTGCAAATGATGCAACCGACAAGGGCTTAATCTCCAAAATATATAAACAGCTCATACAACTCAACAACAACAACAAAAACCCAACTGAAAAATGGGCAGGAGACCTTAATAGACATTTCTCCAAAGAAGACATACAGATGGTCAGTAGGCACATGAAAAGATGCTCCACATGACTAATTATTAGAGAAATGTATATCAAAACTACAATGAGGTACCACCTCACACTGGTCAGAATGGCCACCATTAAAAAGTCTATAGGGGGATTTCCCTGGTGGTGCAGTGGTTAAGAGTCCACCTGCCAATGCAGGGGTCATGGGTCCGAGTCCTGGTCCAGGAAGATCCCACATGCCACGGAGCAATTAAGCCCACGCGCCACAACTACTGAGCCCGTGTGCCACAACTACTGAAGCTCGTGTGCCTAGAGCTTGTGCTCTGAAACAAGAGAAGCCACTGCAATGAGAAGGCTGCACACCACAACGAAGAGTAGCCCCCACTCGACACAACTAGAGAATGCCTGCGTACAGCAACGAAGACCCAACACAGCCATTAAATTAAAAAAAAAAAAGTCTATAGGGACTTCCCTGATGGTCCAGTGATTAAGACTCCGTGCTTCCACTGCAGGGGGCACGGGTTCGATCCCTGGCTGGGGAACTAAGATCCTGCATGCCATGTGGCATGACCAAAAAAGTAAATAAAAGCAAAAAAATTAAAAATAAAAATATTAGAAGTCTACAAATAACAAACGCTGGAGAGGCTGTGGAGAAAAGGGAACCCTCCTACACTCTTAGTGGGAATGTAAATTGGTGCAGCCACTATGGAGAACAGTATGGAGGTTCCTCAGAAAACTAAAAATAGAGATCTACCATATGATCCAGCAATTCCACTCCTGGGCATATATCCAGAGAAAACTATAATTCAAAAAGATACATGCGGGCTTCCCTGGTGGCGCAGTGGTTGAGAGTCC